CCCGTACGGGCAGGGGTACCTGTACCTTTACCTTTATTAATAAAATGATTTCTATTTTCTAACCATTTTTTCTTATATCAGCACTACTCTCTTTTTAAATACAGAGTATCTATGTTTGTCATGTTAATCATTATGTATTCAATGGGCTTAATAGTGAGCTGTTATTTGTAGTTCGATTTTCCTCTCTTTCCTTAATTTTCTTTTTAAAACCCTTTATAGCACAGCATGAAAAGAAGCATTTCTTCATTCGGAACTATTATTTTGCAAAACAAGCCTTCCCATTTCACCTGAACATGGCCTTTAAATTGCTGCCTGGGACAGGAGGTCTCACTACGACTATTTAGCTAGCTCAGTGTTCTACATGGTACAGGAGAATTCTTCTCAGCTAAAATCAAAGTGTAAGCACATTTTACCTGCCACTTGGTACTTTTAATTATGTATACTTGCATTTGCTTGCTTTTTCTTAACACTAGGGGACCAACTTTTTCTTCATCAGATCTTGCATACAAGTGAAGAATAACTGAGGAGATAATGTTGGTGGGAGGAGGGGGGAAAGAATAAAGAAAACTGGTTGCCAAGATTTATTTCTTCTTCAAGTCCTTATCTCAATTATGTGCAATCTTCTGACACAGGGGAAAAACAATTATCCTGTGATATGATCACATGATTTTTTCTGAATAGGCTGCTTCACAAAAACATTTCACTATATGAAAACAAAAGCCAAATTACACATGGCTGCTCAATGTGTCTCTTTAAGTTATCGCTTACTCCAGGCATAGGCAAATTCAGCCCTCCAGCTGTTTTTGGACTACAACTCCCATCATCCCTAGCTAACAGGACCAGTGGTCAGGGATGATGGGAATTGTAATCTCAAAACCATCTGGCGGGCCAAGTTTGCCTATGCCTGGCTTACTCATTTGGTCGATTCCGAGTCTAAAAATCAGCAAGCTATAGGTGTATACCACTTTCCAGTTGAACAAGCCAGCCCACTGAGACATAAAAAGCTGGATGAGGGCATGGCCTAACATAGGCTTATCACAATATTCATACCCTCCAAGTGTCCCAATTTTCCAGGAACAGTCCTGGAATTATGAAAGCTGTCCTGGTTTTTTATTTGATCCCATACTGTCCCTAATTTCCCCATCAATGCCAGGGACGGAGAGGGATGGTGATGGCTGAAGCTGAAAGGGAGCATCCCGTTGCTCTCCATGGCTGCTACTGCCAGCTTCCCCCTTTGGTCAGCTCATAGAGGCTCCTGGAGAGTGGGCAAGGAGGAGGAGAGGCTGCAGCCGCTGAGGCCCAGCCCCACATGACATGCTGGCTCTGAGGGGCAGACAGAGGCCAGGGCTACCCTGAGTGAGAAGGAAGGGTGACTGAAACAGAGCACAAGGTGTATTGATTTTTTTTAAAAATGCTTTGTGCATCCGCATCTAATCTTGTCCCTTTCTAAAATTTATTTATTGGTGTGTGTTTTTCTTTTTGTAAATCTACCAAAGAACAAAACAAAATGGGATTAAGGGGTGGGTGGGGAGGTTGAGGAGGGTCATCTGGGTGGGAGTGAGAAAAGTCCCTATTTTCATCAGAGGAATGTTGGATGGTATGTTGTAAGCTGTACAGCTGTATACACACCATGCCTTTTATGCCCATTCGAAACCCATTCAAAGAATTCTGGGCACTGCAGTTTACGCCACACAGAGTTACAATTCCCAGCCACCTTTAAGGGTGCCCAGAGGGAAAGAACATGCTCCAGAATAGCACATCATTTCCCTTGGATATTTTGTTTCTCTTCTCTTTGAATCGTTTCTCTTTCGTTTTAATTATGTGTGTTTCTTTGCTCTCGCCTCTTCTAATTTTCTAATGCCTACATCCTATATTTCTTCTATAGCTTCTCCCTGTTGCATTGTTTTGCTATGACTGTCAGCAAGAATTGTATACGAGGCATAACATAAATTATTCCAGTTGCATTATTTATTTCATAATCACTCCCAGAAAATTTATTCCTTACTTGCTGAATTAAACATTTTTAGAGGTCAGTCTTAATAACATGTACTGTACTTGCATGGAAATTCTAGATATATATATATATATTGTGCCAACAACTACCGTATTTTTTGCACCATAACACTCACTTTTTTCCTCCTAGAAAGTAAGGGGAAATGTCTGTGCGTGTTATGGAGGGAATGCCTACGGGTGGCATGCCTACGGATTTTCCTCCTCTAAAAACTACATGCGTGTTATGGTCGGGTGCGTGTTATAGAGCGAAAAATACGGTAATTGTTGCAAAAGAGGCCATTACAACAGCAATGTAGAAACACTGGGCCACTATTTCATGGACAGTCGTGAGTGGTTCCATGCAGATGGCATGGTGATGATTGTCTGAATATGTGACCTTTGCATATTTATTAACCTAGATTTCATTTTGATTTTTGTATTCCAACTTTTAACAAGGTGCTACACATTAAATCCCCAAAGAGTTGGGCAAGCATCCATTCATCCACCCACAGAACAATCCTATGCATATTTATTCAGAAGTAAGTCCCACTGTATTCACTGCAAGTACCTTAGGCTGCAATCCCACACACACTGATGTGAAAGTAAGCCCACTGAATTCAGTGGGATTTACTTATGAGTAAACATGCATAGGGCTGCTATGTCAGTTGCCTTTAACAGGGTCCTCTGCTGCCCCCTGAGTCAGAGCACTGATCCTCTCAATCATAGTTCATATTCTATGACTCAATGATTCTCCTGTCCCTTTAAAATCATTTACAACTATCTTCTCCTCTCCCCATCCCACATATTTTACTTTCCCCCTTACAGCAGCATGCCGTTGATGTCCTATATAAATGTTAATGAGAATTGTAGCTGTAGATGTACTGAGAAGCTCTTCTGGAAACACTGTGATCACTGCCAATACAAATTAGCTGCTATTAATACTCATTTGCGGATATCATGCAGAGAATTTGCAAGAGTTTTGTTTTCTTCGGTAGTGATTATATTTTTTTTTAAAGCATCATAGTCATAAAGGATAATTTTCTGCAGCTCATTCATGGCATTATTTTTCTCTCTTTTACTGCTTCAAACATTCTCCTGCCAGCTACTATGTATACTAAGCTACTGTATATACTACAATCTGAAAGGATAACAAACAGAAAATATGGTTGTTGCCACAGAGGATCCAAGCCCAAAGCTTTCTTTCTGTCATGCCCCCATTTCTTCGTTCTTGCCACCCACATGAAATCAGGATGAAGGCCAAATGCATTTAAAGCATTTTAAAAATATGATCCATTACCACTGTGGCATGAAAACAAGACATTTTGGGGGGAAATGTCTCAACCACAAATATTGCAGGAATAGAGGTGAAGGACAGAAATGGCCAGGTGGGTAAAACTTGGCATATTTGTGAGGTATCTCCATTACAGTTTTGGTCTGTTTCTGCACTCGGTGCTTGAGTTTCTTTGGAATGTATATAATTTAAGAACTTGATTGCAGACATTTTGCATTAGCATCTGTATTGAAAAACTCTGCGTTCTGCTGAAGTGCAGAATGCTAGCCCAAGTTTTTGCAATTCTTTTATCATTCAATAGTCAAGAAACATTTTCGTCACCACATTTTTTGTGGCAGTAAGGAATACATAAATCAAGCAAGGACAATCGATATAACAGCATTTCATGCCAAACAAGCTGATAGGCAATGTAAGATGACAAATGTGACACCTATGTGTCTTAACATCCAAAAAGGTTTATTACAAACATCACCTCACCTTTACTCTAACTCTCCAAGCCACCACAAAACAAAGACACGAAAGGAGAAGACAAGACACAAAGATGACAGGCAAGAGGCAAAGTCATTCTAGTAACAACAGTACAATGTCTGTCTTCAGAAAAAGTGATCCCACACATGTAAAGTAGCCAGTGATCCAAAGCCATTTGTCAGGAAAAAGACTATAGAATGTATGCAGAGAATGATGGCTGTGCAATCACCTGGAATTTATCATTGTAGATGACACACAAGACTGTAGTGCAGGTAGAGATGAAGAAGTAGAAGAAATGGATCTACAGCCCATGCGAAAGGCAACACGTGTCATTTGAGGCTCAAACAATTTTAATAGAACTCTAGAAGTGCCTAGGACACTGAAGCTATCAAGATGCGAAAAGACTATGCAGAGAGAGAAATTAGCTCAGTTCTTGCATAACACCATTGTCACTGTTAACATGTTGGATGAGCCACCCTCACCCATCAATACCTGAAAGACAATGTGACCCAGGGGCTCAATAGTGACACAGAGGACCTATTCCTCATGGGATTGGGGAAGGGCTGTAGTATATTAGTAGAACATTTATGTTGCATGCAGAAGGCATGCAACATCCCCGGCACCTCTAGGTTGGGCTGGGAGAAACCCCTGCTTGAAACCTTGGAGACCCATTGCTAGATGGATCAATGACTCTGCTAGATGGATCAATGACTCTGCAGAAGGCAGCTTCTTGTGTTATCAGATTTCCTTTCTTTGAAAAAGGGAGAAGGAATTGCCCAAGTGGTTCACATGTTGAAATGACTTGGCAGCTGTGTGCACATACTGCTCCAGAACACAAGGTCTGCTGCCAGCAACAACGTATGAACCAGGGAATTGGCAACTGAGCAATGAAAAAGACACTTTCCCCAGGTTACAGATCTGGTATCATTCTTCTGCCTGCTGTCACTATGTAACTGACTATGGGCTCTCAGCACCTTCAGTAAGCACAGCCAAAAAGAGGTCTCAGTTTTTCTGAGGTCGGGCAAGTACAAAGAATGAAGCTCCAGTGACATGCATTCCCCGTTTTTTTCATTCAGTCACAGAGTTCTACTTTAAGCACACCTGCCTTCTTGCTATTCAGCAGCATCTATGCTACAAGATATGTGTGGGTGTTCCTTTCTTTGTTCAGGGGCTGAAATGCCACCAGTCAGAATAGAAAATTCGAGCAAGGTGCCTTTGAGTTACATTGAAACTAAATGCCAAAGTTTACCTTAGTTCCTTGAAGGGGTCTGCCCTGACATTGGGAGTTTCTATGGATTTAGGGAACACTACGCCTTCTGCTCCTGAAATAACAAAACAGAACACAAGTGTATATGTTATAAACTGTCATATGTGGCACATTTTACAGTTAATCTATCTCTAACCCATAACATACATCCTATATCCTTATAACTACCCAGAGTGAGTATACTGAGACTCCCCTCTGCCTGCGATATATTTGTTCAACTTATAGAAACAATAATTTAGTGCATTAAGGGCTCTAATCCTATACATGTTTACTTGGGAGAAAGTAACATTCACCACAGTAAGACGTGCTTAGTAAAGACCCTTAGGATTGGATTGCACAAATGCATAAATGTAAAGCATTTTTTTTACAAATATATTTAAAGCAGGTCTTCAATGAGGTACTATATGAATACAAACCCTTTGAATGAGCTGTCTTTCCAAATGCAGTCAATGTGTGTGGTGTTATTTCTCAATTCTTTTTAGAAAAGTTCTCAAAAGGGTGGTGAATTACTCTGGAGGTGCATCATTGCTGCCCAAAATGGCTGAACACATGCTGTATTGCCTCCTCCCTCTGTTTGTTACGGTTGATCCAGCCCATAGGTATGTATGCATTTATATATATATTTATTACTTGCTTGCATTTATTACCTGCCTTTCACAAAAAGTCCAAGGGCAAGTTATATATCAGTAAAAAGGTAAAATACAGCATACAAGGCAGTTAACAGTTAAGCAACCAATCAACAAATAAGGCCAAACCAACCAACAACCATTGTTGTTGTTTAGTCGTATCCGACTCTTCATGACCCCATGGACCAGAGCACACCAGACACTCCTGTCTTCCACTGCCTCCCAGAGTTTGGTAAAACTCATTTTAGTAGCTTCGAGAACACTGTCCAACCATCTCGTCCTCTGCCATCCCCTTCTCCTTGTGCCCTCAATCTTTCCCAACATCAGGGTCTTTTCCAGGGAGTCGTCTCTTCTCATGAGGTGGCCAAAGTATTGGAGTCTCAGTTTCAAGATCTGTCCTTCCAGTGAGCACTCAGGGCTGATTTCCTTCAGAATGGATAGGTTTGATCTTCTTGCAGTCCATGGGACTCTCAAGAGTCGCCTCCAGCACCATAATTCAAAAGCATCAATTCTTTGGCGATCAGCCTCCTTTATGGTCCAGCTCTCACTTCCATACATCATTACTGGCATATTCCCAAATGCCTGGAGGGAAAATATATGTGCCTGTGTATATTTTCTGAAAATCCTCCATGCTGAAGCTAGGCAGCCATCAGGTAGCAGGGAGTCCCAAAGTTTGAGGGCTACCACTGAGAAGGTTTTGTTCTGATTCACACAATGATCAAGGCAACTCATATGATTGAATCAGCTGAGAACTGGTCATGTGGGAAAAATTAAGCATTTGCATGTGATGCACAACAACAGAGAGTTAATGGATTTGATGTGACTGGTCTTTTGGAGCTTTCCCTCTCCAAGAGAATGAGGAAACTGGAACTGGGAAACTGTGCTACATTTAAATTGCCTGGGACATTTCAGATGTACAGTGGTACCTCGGGTTAAGTACTTAATTCGTTCTGGAGGTCCGTTCTTAACCTGAAACTGTTCTTAACCTGAAGCACCTCTTTAGCTAAAGGGACCTCCTGCTGCTGCCATGCCACCAGAGCATGATTTCTGTTCACATCCTGAAGCAAAGTTCTTAACCTGAAGCACTATTTCTGGGTTAGCGGAGTCTGTAACCTGAAGCGTATGTAACCTGAGGTACCACTGTAGCTACATACTAACCCTTCTGCACTTCAACTAACTTTGAATATGCAAAAATGATGGCTTCAACAATCACTTTAACAGCTATTGAAATTGGCCACAGGCCATGGCTGAGTCTTTCTATTGGAACTGCTGTTGACTCCCATTTCTTCAATTAGGCTGCTTATAGTCAGAGTGTGCTGCTGCAATGGCCTGCAGACTGAAACCTACAATTTTTTCTATCCTGCCTGCACTCACTACTACATTTTGCTGGATGAGAGACTACTCCAATGCAATGAAGGAAATGATGCAAGGGGCCATTAGTGACTGCACACCCTGCCCACAAAATATGCCCAGCACTGCCCAGGTAAGTCTCCTAGGCAAAATGCTGACACAGAAATTGTAATATCTGGTAAGGCATCAGAGTAAGGTGCCTGTTTCTGTGGCATATGGAAACTTTGAGCTAGCTCATGTGCTTGACTGCTGTTGCCTCTGTCTGGCTATCAGGAACGAAAGAAAGAAACCATTTCATTATACCTGATCCATCCATACTGGGCGGAAAGCAAACCTTGTCAAATCTGCTGGTAAATCAACAGCTTTTATAGCTTTTGCCATTGCAAACACTACTGCCTCTGCTGTGAATAAAGCTCTGTTTCTTTGGAAACTATAGGGAGTATTGTTTTCAACAACACAATTGATTTTTGTGGTGTATCGTCGTATATCTACAACAAGTTAGATAAGATAGAGGGAATCTATTATGTAATGTGTATTTATACCTACTGTACATTCCATGACAATAAATTATTCTCTTCTTTTATTATTTGCAAAAGAGTTTGATTAAAACCCAGGCCTGGCAAATCTTTCTTTTGACACTATGTAATTTACCAGCAATAAATGTTCATAAACAGTTTGAGTGGAAAATCCATAAAGCTATTTCAGCTTTATTTTAAGTTCCATTTAATGCCCCTCAAAAATGATTTCATCAATGTGTGTTCCATTAACTGGCTTTCTGCCCAATAACTTAATTCCACACAATCAATCAGGAATTTATAAAGCATGTGACAGGATCTATCTAAAGTGTTTTGAATTACTGTAATGATTCACTCAATACTTTTATTTTTCGCCCCCTCCCCGGTACTGGTGAAAACTGAGGAAATAAATTTGTCAAAAATCTCTAATGTGCATTTGGTGACTGCAGGAACAATGTGGAAAGCTTTTATATTAAAGTACTGCACAGTATCGCAGATACATTTGGTGACAGCAAAAAGCTTTATGCTAAAAGAAAACAAGTAACTATTTGAAAGCTGCACTGTAGGATATATTCCTATAGCCCATTGCCACATGATGGGGTTTTATTTTTGATGAGCACTGACTAGAAAGCTGGTGCCTGGTCGGTTTCAATATATCCATTGTGAACACTTTTTAAAATGTAGGTGTTTAAGTTCAGAATATGCCTGTTGCCACAGCCAAGTTTCTCTTTCTACTGAATAATGTCATCTCTTTTATATAGCAAATAAACCAAAGCATGCATTCCATGGTGTATAGTTTATCTCTGGTTGCAACAGCTGCCATTACACTTTTAGAGTCAAAGCAGCAGCAGAATCATAGAGCTGGAAGGTAATCTAGTCCAAGAAAGATAGCCATCCAACCTCTGCTTAAAAATCTCCAATGAAGGAGAGTCCACAACCTCCTGAGGGAGTCGCTCCACTGTCAAACAGCTCTTACTGTGAGAAAGTTCTTCCTGATGTTTAGTCAGAATTTCCTTTCTTGTAACCTGAAGCCATTGTTTCGAGTCCTCGCCTCCAGAGCAGGAGAAAACAAGCTTGCTCTACCTGGCATGTGACAGCCCTTGAGATGTTTGAAGATGGCTATCATATCTCCTCTCAGTTTCCTCTTTTCCAGACTAAACATACCCAGCTCCTTCAACCGTTCCCCATAAAGCTTGGTTTCCAGACCTCTGATCATCTTGGTTGCTCTCCTCTGCACACGTCAATATCCTTCTAAAATTGTTCCAGTTACAGATAGGTAGCCGTGTTGGTCTGCCATAGTCAAAACAAAAAAAATTCCTTCCGGTAGCACCTTAAAGACCAACTAAGTTAGTTCTTGGTATGAGCTTTCGTGTGCATGCACACTTCTTCAGATACACACTGAAGTGTATCTGAAGAAGTGTGCATGCACACGAAAGCTCATACCAAGAACTAACTTAGTTGGTCTTTAAGGTGCTACTGGAAGGAATTTTCTTCTAAAATTGTGACACCCAGAACTGGACACATTATTCTAGGTGGAGCCTGGAAGTCTTGACTTCCAGTATTGGGATGTGCCAGCCACAGAGTGAAAGAGTGAAACCCTGCAACTCACCATCACTTTTGAATATAAGCAGAATTTTTTATTGTTTTCAAAAAATGCGAAACACCCAGAATTGGTTCTCTGAAAGGTCAAAGTTCGTAAGTCAGATGAGGACGACAGAGGCACCACATTTATAACTCACCCATAACAGTTTTTGTACAAGTAGAGACAGAAATTGTTCACTGGGCGGAATAGCCCACGGTCTGCAAAACATAACCAAAGAAAGAATCCCAAGCTGCATGTCTTGTAAAGGACCTGAGCATCACAGAAATGGACCCCCTCCCTTTTCAAGTGACAGTTGCAATCAGTAAACTAATTTGGGGCACTGCACGACTTGTTTGTACCTGCCTCCTCACTGTGTTTGAGACAACTCACAACAATAAAATTAGGACAACACACACACAATCTTTCAAAAACACTAACTAGCTGTTAATAAGCAGAATGTCTGCAAACTTCAGCTTTATTGGCTTTGCAAGGAAGGGGAACCCGGAGGTAGCTCAGTTCACCTCATTAAAAATAATAAGGTTGCAGAACTGGTAGACTACAAAAAGAATGCATGGATACAGAAATCATGAATGTGATTCATTTTCAGCACCATGTTCTACGATGTAATGTACTTACTACATGGAGGATGAGACCAATGGGCCTGAGCAGAAAGCTTTGTGCCATAATATCCCACCCCCCAAAGGAAAGATTGTCAAAAAGAGATAAGGTTTACTCAAATCATTCTGATCCCAGGCTGTTTGAGCTTCAGTTTGCTGAACTGTTTCCCAGCAGTGCTTATAACAACATCAGCATTGGTGAGCTTTTTTTTTTATACTAGCTGTATTTGTTGCTGCTGCTAGTTTTGCGTGAAACACTAGCATGTGGGCTTACAAAACCAGAAATAGTCCATGCAAAAAGTTTCCAAGGAGAACACCTTGCTCTCTTAAAGCAGATTATGTTTCAGAAGAGTTTCAAGGAAAGC